GTCAGTGCAAGGGCGGGCTGGCGGCTCCGCTGATGGCTGTGGGGGGAGTTGGCGCGGCAGAGGAAGAGCGGGAGGCAGGACGGGCGCTGGGACCACACCTCCAGCCCCTTCACGCCCACCAGTGCCATCTCTGACGCCACGTCTGGAATCTGTGGGAAAGCGGTTGTAAAGTTTAATGGGATGAGTATCTTACACGATATGATGAAAAAGTTTGCTTATTGTATTTACATAGAGGTGTGCACATGTATGTATACACAATCACACTCACACACATATATAAATACATTCTTTTATCAGGGTTCGGGCACGTCCTTAAAAAGTCTTAAAATGTAATATATTTTTTGGGAAATTTAAGGTCCTAAAATGTCTACTAAACGGATTTGTTTCCGTCGTAGGTCTTGAAATGTCTTAAATTTTCGTAAGGCATTTTTTTGTTCGCGTAAATATTTGTTACTAGCGAACGCCGTTGCGATTCACTCAATTACGAATCTCTACGCGGCTTGGTCGGCAGTCATTTGCCAACAGCATTAGCCCTTGGCCCGTACTTTTAAAACCTTTCGCCAGTGCTGGCGTTCGATTTCGCCGGGCGATCGGGAATTTCGTACTATTAAAAGCACGGCAAGTGTTCAGCAGGCGATCTTTCGCCAGGGCTCTCGGAAGATCGTATTGGAACAGCCTGGTGAAGCAAAGTCACGAGAGCCTCTCTCCCGTGATTGAATATCACTTTCTTGCTTCGAATTATAAATTAGTAACATATTTGGGTATGATATGATATAGAAATCGCATTGTAATTGTCAGATATCTGAAAATCACAATTTATTATGAGATAACGTATATACGCAGTTTTTTTTTCAAGACCATCAATGTTCCGGTCGAAAGCTCAAGACATCAGCTGTTTCCGCACCGAGGTGAGTTATTTAGATTTAAGTTGCTATTTTGGTTGTAGGGATAATTTTCTTCTCACAAATGTTACCATGCGTGTTTTGATGATGACATGTTTATTGCGGGCTATAGAATCATAGCTGTCGTGCTCTACCGCCCTATAATGAGGCGTGTCTAATGATACCCTTGTAGGCCTACAGCTCAATATATTACACCAGTTACGTATAGTAAAATGGTAAATTTTGAACTCCTTTGCTAAAGTGTACAGTTGATATAATATAGTATAAAAGCATAAAGTTAACTTTGTTATAGTATAAAGTTAATTTCTAACTCCTTTGTTATAGTATAAAGTGAGACTATTACGGACATAACATTTTCGTCTTCTCTCGAGGTTAATAGTTAAGTTAGGTAAGGTAAGGTAGGGTCAGGGTTAGGTTAGGAATTAACACGGCCTTTATATAATCCTTTATGAGGTCCCCATTCGACGCGGCCGATTAATTAAGGGCCGTGTGCAAAATGATAATAATAATAAAAATAATTATGACGCGGCATCTCTCAGAGAGGCTGTGTGAAAATCATAGGGGGGATCTCATATCTTGTCACTGACGCGGCAAGTAGGCCTACACTTTATAGGGAGGTGTGTATTCAGCGACAAGTGGCGGCATTTAGTATGAGTCTTACAAAGTCTTAAAAAGGCCTTAAGTTTTCTATGTTATTGAGCTCCATCTTGCAAAGAAACTCTGCCTACACACACATCAACACACATGACATCACACACACACGAACACACTTCATCAAGCGAACGACACACGAACACAGCACCAACAACCACATCACTATCATCACTACATTTATTCAACACATTCTACAACACACATCTAATCTATATCACCATCTACATCACACAACACACACATACCACACACACACACACACACACACAAACATCAACACACAACACACGACCAGGCACCACGAACCACACATCCATCACACACAACACACAAATAATAACAATGGCTTATATCTATATGTATATAATAATATATTATATGTATTAATACTACTTAGTTTAATTATAATACCCTAATAGTATATATTGTATAACCTAAATAATATTAATATTACCGTATCTATCTATTTAAACAGGATAATACTTGTAGCTACGTTTTTATATATATTACATTACATACTGTCTATTTAAACTTAATCGATTTATTATGTAGTATATAATAATACTAATAAGTATGGTAAATAAATCCCACTACATAAACACTAGAGTAATATTACGTACATACCCACTACTGTGAGTATACACACATTACAACACACACACTTACACATTACCACATACACAAACACACACACACACCATCAACACAATATAAACCACTAAATAAGTATATATTAGACATACCAACCAGTTTATTATTATATACTTCAACTTTTAATAAGTGCAATGTTACTTATCATATATACTTATAATCTATTATACTATATACACTATCCAGTAGATACTAATATATAGATGTATCTTATACACTGACCTATCTATTCAGATTAATACATTTATATGACTATGTAAAATATATACATATACTTGTTAATACCTTACACG